GTGGACAGGTGATGGGGATGGTGGTGGCTGTGATGGTGGTGGTGGTGTTAGTGGTGGTTGTTGTTGGTGGTGGTGATGGTGGTGGTTGGTGGGGATGGTGGTATGTGATGGTGGTGGTGGTGTTAGTGGTGGTTGTTGTTGGTGGTGGTGATGGTAGGTTGGTGGGGATGGTGGTATTGTGATGGTGGTGGTGGTGATAGTGGTGGTTGTTGGTGATGGTGGTGGTTGGTGGTGATGGGGATGGTGGTGGCTGTGATGGTGGTGGTGGTGTTAGTGGTGGTTGTTGGTGATGGTGGTGGTTGGTGATGGGGATGGTGGTGGCTGTGATGGTGGTGGTGGTGTTAGTGGTGGTTGTTGGTGATGGTGGTGGTTGGTGGTGATGGGGATGGTGGTGGCTGTGATGGTGGTGGTGGTGATAGTGGTGGTTGTTGGTGGTGGTGATGGTGGTTGGTGGTGGTGGTGGTGATGGTGGTGGTGGTGGTGGTGGTGATGGTGGTAGATACCCACCAACAGACTCATGACGTCAACAGTTCGAAGTTGCTCCTCAAATTTCTTTCTCATAAATATTGAGAAGAAGTGTAGCGAGTCTCACCCCCCCCCCAACAGCACACACACACACACACACACACACACACACACACACACACACACACTAGACCACAAAGCCAGGTGTGTGTGTCAGGTGTAAAATTAATTATATCAGGTATATATAGTACGTAAGGAGCTTCATTCTGTCTTAATATTCACTATATCTTTGTTAATCTTCACTATATAGTACCTGTGTTAATCTTCACTACACCTGTGTTAATCTTCACTACACCTGTGTTAATCTTCACTATACCTGTGTTAATCTTCACTACACCTGTGTTAATCTTCACTACACCTGTGTTAATCTTCACTATACCTGTGTTAATCTTCACTACACCTGTCGCTAATTAGTCAAACGAGAGAGTCAAGATGAAGATAATTCCTGAAGGTGTTGCTAAGGTGACAGGTGAACCCGGCCCCTTGGGAGAGTCTCCATCCCAGCTTATTTCACCTAACCTAACATAACCTAACTTAACCTAACCTAACCTAACCTAACCTAACCTAACCTAACCAACAGCCCGACTCCTGCCTCGTGACATCTGATCTTTTTCTTCTCAGCCAACACGTGACTTCTTCGCAAAACTTTCAACATCATGAACAGGTGGTGACACTATACTCAGGTGGTGGCACTAGACCCGGGTGGTGGCACTATACCCAGGTGGTGGCACTAGACCCGGGTGGTGACACTATACTCAGGTGGTGGCACTAGACCCGGGTGGTGGCACTATACTCAGGTGGTGGCACTATACTCAGGTGGTGGCACTATACCCAGGTAGTGGCACTATACCCGGGTGGTGGCACTATACCCAGGTGGTGGCACTATACCCAGGTAGTGGCACTATACCCAGGTAGTGGCACTATACCCAGGTAGTGGCACTCTACCTGTTGTTTCTACCAGCCATGTTTTGACAATACGACACCATCATCCATCAGCAACGACAAAACCTTAACAACTCACTTAAAACTGTTGTTGTATTATTTTCACTATTATTCCAATAATTCATATAAACTTACCAATTATAATATATCTAATGGTATCAAATCGTAAAACAGAAACCTTAATTGAAATAATGTTTACGTTTTTCAAAATTGGTCGCTTATAGTTCGTTTCTTTGTTTGAATTCGTTGCCTGAAATAACTCTGATTTTTATTTCATTATTTACTGACATAAGACAAAAATAATGTAATTTTTCACTATTTCTCCAACCTGGTGATATATTTACGTGATATTTATAAGTCCTGATAGTTATCTTGAGGTCATGGTAGCTACACACGTTACACAGACGCCGCCCGCCCGCCAGACACAACATCAAAGATCTTCACTGTGACGCGACTATATATTACCTCAGTGTTATAGTGAAGGCGCCTCTAGAACGTAAACATATTATTTACTGATATTTTTATTTTATTTTATTAGTGGAAATATTATCATTGGCGCAAGACTTAGCGAGTAGGAGAGAGAAATATATAACATCGTCTTCTCGTCTCCACTAATAGGATTGAAATGTTTCCTCTGTTCTTTTGTTTTGTATTTGGTGGCGACAGCCTGGAATTGTTGATCCTTTTTTCTACACGAGCCTTGACGAGAGTGAGTGCCCTTCAACCAAACCAGAACTATGTAATAACCTAACAGTATCATGCGTCACACGACCATAAAAATAAACGACATCAATAATTTTAAGTGAGGTAAACTTGCGCTGAAACAAGGCTCCGTAGAGAGAGGCACCTGCGCAGGTCTTGAATAACTAACTCGAATGAAAGTGAGGGGGATTCTGTGACAGCAGGAGGCAGGAGGTGCAGTAAGTCTTGGCTCACCAGGTGTGTAGGAGCCCCAGGAGTCTCACTAGTTGTCACCTAAACCTCGCCCGTCCCCTCACCTGCCCTCATTTACTAATGATGCCTCTCAGGTCCCCTTCTTCCACCCCTCACCTGATACGCACCTACTCAGGGTCACCACACCTGGCCAGGGTCATCACACCTGTTTGGCACTGACCGCCTCTCGTAACTGTGTGTGTGTGTGTGTGTGTGTGTGTGTGTGTGTTCCATTCATATACATCAGTTCAAACACCAACCACGCAGGATCGTCATATCGAAACTCTCTCTCTCTCTCTGTCTCTCTCTCTCTCTCTCTCTCTCTCTCTCTCTCTCCTTAACAACACACTGAGGTTTAATGAGCTTTATCGTCCAACATGACCGCTCGCAGTGTCACCACCACCACAACAACTCCAGCGTCCTACACCAGCCTTGAGCTATCACCTGGCGCCCAGAGAGGTGGGTGATGATAGCCAAATTAGTGGCGCTAATATCAACGATCTTAGCTCAACCTAGCGCTTCCCAGTACATCCCGATATAACCTAGCATACCCTAGTCTAGTCCAGCACATTCTGGTCTAGTTGAATATAGCCTGGTGCAGTGGAGTACATCCTACAGTATAATGGAACACATTCTAGCCTAGCCCAGCCCAGTCCAGTACACCCTAGTGTAGTGGTCGGTTGTAAACATACATTTTCACCTCTGGGACGGCAACTGTATCTTAGGACCAGGAAATGAAATCTTGAGTCCTCTACGACTGCCAGGGAGGTGACGTAGTAGGGGAAGAGAGGGCGTCAACGTTGATCAAGACAGCTGAAGGTGTTTGAGACAATGTTATCTGGGGTAAGCGACGACCTAACCACTTAATATAATGTCGAAAGGCTTCGGTGTCTGTGTTGTCTCTCTTGAGGCCCTTAGACAACTACTAAAGTCCGTTCACCTCTCCTCCTGAAACACGAACCCCTGAAAGATTCAGAACTCATTAATGCGAAGCATTTATGGATAGAATAATGTATCAGTTTATTGCTTCGGGTTCACGAGTCTGAATCTCTCGGGGTTCGTGGTTCAGGAGGAGAGGTAAACGAACGAACTCTTATAGTTGACTGAGCAAAGAAATAAACGCAACAATACGTGTTATATTTGTAGTCATGATTATAGGTATGTGTTAACATGTTATAATGATTTATAAACACCCAGCTTGGACTAACTACCCCCAGCAACCGTGTAAACCCCTTTCATCCCCCAGCAGCCGTGTAAACCCTCCCAGCCCCAGCAACGGTGTAAACCCCTACCCCTCCCAGCCCCCAGCAACGGTGTAAACCCCCTCCCACCCCCAGCAGCCGTGTAAACCCCCTCCCAGCCCCAGCAGCCGTGTAAACCCCCTCACTCCCAGCCGTCTCTCTCATAAGTCCCACACTCAGCCTCACACACTGTGTACTTCAGTGATTTCAAGTTTTTCTTCTGATTTTTTATTATTGGTTGTGAGCCGTGATGTGAAGGGGAGGAAGGGGAGAGGAGGAGAGGAAGGAACGGAAGAGAGGAGAGGCAGGAAGAAAAGAGAGGAGGAGAGGCAGAGAAGGGGAGAGGAGGGGGGGGAGAGGCACGAGAGAAGGAAGTGAGTGGAGGAGAATAAGAACACATCTGTCCACAGTTCAGGAAAGAATGATCTTAACTTCTCATGAACGATTCTTATTTTTCCTTTCTCTGTAGTGAAGATCTCGTCTACACACTTAACCACTCATACATATTTATCATACTTAATAGTGATGATAACCTAACCTAACCTAACCTAACCTAACCTAACCTTATCTAACTCAGGTAAACGACATTTTAATTGAGACGGAGGAGATATCACCCCCAAATGAACTAAATACGAACAACAACAGGTGGATGGGTTATCACTGTTGCTCCTGGGAGAACCTTCAGCTGACGTGTGGGAGTCATTCTCGGTATGGTTCATCCTCCCCTTCTATACCCTCTCCGTCTATATTTCCTCCTCCTGTTGCTCCTTCTCCTCCTGTTGCACCTCTTCCTCCTGTTGCACCTCCTCCTACTCCTCCCCTCCTCATACTTCTCTCCTTCCTCCTCCTCCTCCTCAGCGGCCATCAATAAGACCGATATATATATATAGCTCCCTGAGGCTCGGTCTCAGATCAATTCGAAAAAGATGTAAGAAAAATAAGAATCAATAGACGATTTTTTTAACATGTTCGATAATGTGTTTCTTAGGGCCCTAAAGACACACACACCCACACAGACACAGACACACACACACACACACACACACACACACGCACACACCTGTACGTGTGACTAGGGCCTTGGGCAATATTCAATCGTTTTTCTTCTGCCATCAAGAAACGATCACTTCTTTGGCCCAATGCCTTTAGAATGTAGGACTTTTGGGCCATGAGACGTTTGATTTGGGCCAGGATGGATAGGACCTAACCTAACCTAACCCAAACGTCCACTTACCGTGTCTTTCATGAGTGAGAGAGAAAGAGATCCCGGTCGGTAAGGAGGAGAGGGTGATGGTGATAACTGCTGAAGGCAACAGCAGCCACAGTGGACTCTCTCTATATATAGACCACGCACACTGATGCTTCTCTTCCACTCTGTCTCGATGCCTCCGAAGCAAGACACAGCATAACGAGACACAGCACAGCATAACAAAACAGCACAGCATAGCGTAAAACTCAGCATAGCATAACAGCACAGTACAGCACTAACATGAACTGGACAGCGATTTTGGTTCTTGCCGCCGGTAAGGGAATTATTACTGAGACAATATTATGAAGTAAACTTTACTGATGTTGGGGATAAAGTCGACCAGGTATCTCTTAGACGGTTGACGTTTGGTTTGGCCCAGGGTGGTTAGGACCTAATCTAACCTAACCTAACGTGATCTAACCTGACCTGATGTAGACTAACCTAACCTAACCCCCCCCCTCACCTCACCTCACTGCACCGCCCTCATCTCACCTCACCTCACTTCACCTCCCTCATCTCATCTCACAACAAATGGATAAGAAGTTAAATTCCTAAATAAATCACGAGGTTATATTCAATAAAAAAAAACATGACAAAAACAAGTTCTCTCGTCAATATCCAGTAAAACTTGACCTTTGACATCAATTAAACTTGTCTCAGGGGCCATAGAGGTCAACTAGAGATCTAAAGTGTCATTAACTGGGAAAAAATGAATGATATAATTCCTTGTGTTTATTGACCATTGATTTGTTTCGTCTTTCCAGCGGCGATTGGGACTGTCCTTAGTGAAGGTAAGTTGAACTGATAAATCCTCTATATAACGGATTTCTCTTCGTAAAATCCGTTAGATGGGGATTTCACGTTTAACGGACCCTCGATATAACGGACTTTCATCTCCATACAGTCCGTTATCATGGAAAATTCACTTTGTCTTCTTGTCCTCCCTTTGTCTTCCCGTGCTCAATGTCTTCCCGTGCTTAATATCTTCCCGTGCTCAATGTCTTCCCGTGCTTAATATCTTCTCGTGCTTAATGTCTTCCCGTCCTCCCTTTGTCTCCAGCGCAGAACTCGTAATGGATGGGTGAAAACTGATCATGTAAAGACAATATTATTTGTTTCAGGATCTTTAATGTGTTATGGTCTCTATTGACTTGATAGTACTTTGTGCCACAGTCCTATATTATCATCAGAACCACACTATGACCACACCTACACTATACCGATTATCAAGAAGGGAGATAGATCACTGTCCTCTAACTACCGTCCAATCAGTCTAACATCAATTGTAGGCAAATTACTGGAAGCAATCATTTCAAACTCTATTCGAAAAAACCTGGAGAAGCACAAGTTGATCAATGATTCCCAGCATGGCTTCACAAGCGGGCGTTCATGTCTAACTAATCTATTAACATTCTTTTCATCAGTTTTCGAATCGGTGGACGAGGGGCACAATTATGATGTGGTATATCTCGACTTTAGCAAAGCCTTCGACAGAGTCCCCCACGAAAGACTAGTAAGAAAAGTGGAGGCTCATGGCATTAAAGGTGATATTCTAAAATGGATTAGGGCGTGGTTACAGGACAGAAAACAGCGAGTGAGCATTAACGGCACAAAGTCCCATTGGAGCAACGTCACTAGTGGAGTTTCGCAAGGCTCAGTACTTGGACCATTATTATTTATTATATACATAAACGACATAGATATCGGCATAGACAGCAACATAAGTAAATTTGCTGATGACACTAAAATAGGACGTGTTTAGGAAGATCTAAAAAAAATTTTCGAATGGTCTGAAAAATGGCAGATGAAATTCAATGGAGACAAATGTAAAGTACTCAGTATAGGAGATGTAAACAAGGAACCAGATACCAGATGAACAACGATGTTATTGAGAAATCCGACTGCGAGAGAGATTTAGGAGTTATGATAAGTAGGAATCTTAAGCCAAGTAAACAATGTGTATTTGCTCGAAACAAGGCTAATAAAGTACTTGGGTTCATACAAAGGAGTGTTAGTTACAAGACTAGCGAGGTCATCTTAAAACTATATCTTGCGCTTGTGAGACTTCACCTGGATTACTCAGCTCAGTTCTGGTCACCGTATTACAGAATGGATATAGAATCCTTGGAAAGAATTCAGAGGAGAATGACAAGACTCATCCCGGGCATCAGGAACCTTGAGTACAGAGACAGGTTAAAGCATCTTAATTTGCACTCCCTCGAGAGACGTAGAGTGAGGGGCGACATAATGGAGGTGTATAAATGGAAGTCAGGGCTAAACAAAAGGACATTACAAAGGTACTCAAACTTTCCAACCAGGAGCGAACTCGTAACAATGGTTTTAATTAGACAAATTTAGGTTTAGGAGCGAAATAGGTAAACATTGATTTGGAAATAGAGTAGTGGACGACTGGAACATGTTACCAAATATCATCATTAACTCGAATACGCTGGATAGCTTCAAACTAAGGTTGGATGGATATATGAGCAATAGGGGCTTGGCGTAAGTGGGACTGCCCAGTATGGGTCAATAGGCCCGCTGCAGCTTCCTCCATTCTTACGTTCTTATGTTCCACACCGTCACCAGGGCCTATGATCATCTCAGCCAAACTATCACCAGATCCACACCATGACCAGAATCACATCATATTTAGAATCACACCATTACTACAGTCACACCATGACCACAACCTCAGCATTACCACAACCACACCTCACTACAACCACACCAACACCACACCATCACCAACACCATCACTACATCCAGTTCCCATCCTCTCACACCCCACATCCCATTATCAACAAAGTGTGACTCTCCACCATATAAATCCTTCAGCGCCAGAGGCCGGACCGTGCCCAGTGGGATGGCTAGACTTCAGTGTAGATCCCATATCACCAGTGTGTCTCAAGTTCGTTATGTACGGGAAGGGAACCTGGTCCGGCTTGAGGAGTCTGTGTCAGGCTGAAGGAGCAGATCTGGCCGAGCTCAAGGGTGAACTTCACCACCAAGTGTACGAGTATATTATGGATAACCAAGGTAAGATGACAGAAATTTTCTTATATGTGTGAGAGAGAAGGAGAGACAGTGAGAGAAAAATACAGAGAGAGAGAGAGAGAGAGAGAGAGAGAGAGAGAGAGAGAGAGAGAGAGAGAGAGAGAGAGAGAGAGTTCTATAACACTCTGTGTCAAGTATTGTCTTTCAAAACAACACTGAAATCCATATTAAGAATAATAATATCTTCCTTCATAAGAGTTACACGTTAAAAGAACAATATTGTTCGTGTAGGGTGCACAAAAAGTAATAGATAAGTTTATCCTCGTCTATCGCCGTTTTCTGTGAGAGGAGGGATCGTGTCCCCCCCTACCCCGGAAGATACAAAATTAATATGTTTTCCCCTTTAAACATAATACTCGAATTAATATTCCCTCTACCAACTCACTGGTGACTACAACAAATACAGTACACACACACACTCCAAAAATGTATATTTACGATTTTAGTGTTGAGGCAATATGGCACAACAGATGAAGGACTTTGACAACCCTACCGAGAGAACAGGAGTTGCGGTGTTCTTTGTGAAATTCATTGTACCCCTCCATATAGATACTTTAGTGTGTGTGTGTGTGTGTGTGTGTGTGTGTGTGTGTGTGTGTGTGTGTGTGTGTGTGTGTGTGTGTGTGTGTGTGTGTGTGTGTGTACAAATTTGACGTAGGAGTAAATTTCAAAACACAAATTAGGTGAAAATCCAGAAGATAGACAAGTAAGAATCAATATAACCTCCTGTATTTCAGAACTACAGGATGAGGACTTCTGGATTGGGGGAACGGACGAAGGACACGAGGGAAGGTAAGTAACGCTAAAGCTAACTGTTCCGAACTACAAAAGTAACGTGCTACTGAGTGTTCCAGACGGCAGAGATGACTAAGTAACGTGTTGGGTGAGGTAGTTAAGGTGTGTTCAATGTTCCGTAGAGTCAAGTAACATATTCCTGAGGCTACTTCATCTCTGTATTTCACTTACCCTCATTTCTATTCTGTTCTCTCAAAATTATCGTTCTTTCTCTCCCTTTCTCTATCTCGTTCTTTCTCTTGCTTTCTGTATCTTTCTCTCGCTTTGTCAATCCGTCTCTCTCTCTCTCTCGTTCTTACACACTGATACCCTCTCCTCTCGCCCGTAGTTGGACTTGGATCAGCGACGACTCACCGATGGAGATGGGTGTCCCTCACTGGTACCCCTGCGACCCTCCACAACCTGACGGAGGCACCCAGTCTAACTACGCCTGTATCTGCACCCCTGACTTCTTCTTCCACAGCTGCGAGAATAACATCAAGATTTACGCTATATGTCAGATTTAGAACCTTCATCTCTGCTATTTGTCAGATTTTGAACTTTAATATACACTATTTGTCAGATTTAGAACCTTAAGTTATGCTATTTGTCAGATTTAGAACCTTAAGCTATGCTATTTGTCAGTTTAAAACCTTCCACTCTTATGCTATTGCCAGATTTAGAACCTTAAGCTACGCTATGTTAGATTTAGAACCTTCCATTCTTATGATAGACTCCTTTATGGGGGTTGAAACTGTTAATAAATCTATCATTAGTTTTCCTTTTTGTGTTTTTGTTTGAGAAAATCCCTCAGGTTTCAGAGTGTTGTTTGACGTCAACAGAAACCAGACCAAACCAAATTAAACCCAAAACAGGAAAATGGTTAAAATATACTAGACGGCCCCCCTCCCCCAAGACAAAAAAAATCTAAATATTAAAAAATAAAATGTATAGCAGAAGAAAGATGATCGAAGGTAGTGAGGCTTATAAATAATAATAATAATAATAATAATAATAATAATAATAATAATAATAATAATAATAATAATAATAACACCCAGGAAATGTTTGGAGAAGTGGGCCGTGGTCGCCAACCCTCACACACAGGAACATGGTACTATAACTGGGTGTTATAATTGATTGATACTATAACTAACTGGTACTATAACTGAATGGAACTATAACTGATTGACTGGTAGAGCAGATGTCGCTTTATGTTGCGTTAAGTTACATGAAGAAGCAGTCGGGTGGGTGTTATCTGCCTCTCCGAAGTGAAGTGTTTTACCCTGGGAGAACCTTCAGCTGACATCTGCCGTGAGGTTCCCCTCCACCCTCTTCCCTCACCCCTCACCTGCCTCACCTCTCCTACTTTATATGCAACATGACTAGGATAAAGTTAACTGGACGCCATAACTTAAATACAACCATTACGACAGAGTTAAGAAGCCATACATTTTAACTCCCGCCATTACATTAATAGAAGCTGTTGATCTATAGCCAATGACGAGACACGTTAAATAAATGCATACTGGCTAGCTCCTGAAGGTGTAGAGCCAATGCCAAAAAAGTATCAAGACCCCAGACGTCCGAAAGAATATGAAATATCGAACGAAGATAAACCCAACCCAATCCAATTGATACATGAACGTGTCTGAAGTTATCGCTCGTTTTCTGTTCCATCGGTCACTAACTGAACCACTACCGAATGAGATGTTTTGGCGAGGCTACTGTGTTCATTACCCCGCCTGGACACGTGAGTTTTTCTGTTAATAAAAATAAGAGGATTTCCCTAACTAATGGCCTTGGTAAAAAGTGTCTTACTGAACGTTGAATAGCCAGAGTCCAAAGAATATCATCGAATAGTGATGATAAAGATGGACTTGAGTACGATGACTCCATCCCTTGAGTACGATGACTTAACACCCTGAGTAGGATAACCGAATCCCTTGAGTATGATAACCATCCCTTGAGTACGATGGCAATCCCTTAAGTACGATAACCTACTCCCTTGAGTATGATACCAATCCCCTGAGTACAATAAATTAGCCCAGCGAGTAAGATCTCTTGACCTTATTAAATACGATGTCATCAGTACAGTCATCTCAGTACTTGATAAAATATAGTTATATATATATATATGTATTCTTTCATGATTATGAGTGAGAAACCTCCAGAGGACTCGTATGGCGCAGGCGGTGATAACGAGACCAAAGGGCTGGATACACAGTGACACGCAACACTATAAGGGTGAGCAAGTTACATCTCTGCAGCTGACAGTTCACTGTGTATATATGTGCTAGAACCCACGCGCGTCTCTCACTCTCTCTTGATATACCAACAGCGCAACACAGAACAGCATAGTGCAACACAGCATAGCACATCATAGAGCAACATGAAGTGGGCAGCAACTTTGGCCCTGGTTGCAGGTGAGGGAGACAATGAGTCAGTATATGGTAAAAGACTCCACCACAACTCCTGAGACACTTTCTGATGACCCTGAAGACTAGTGCCTATTTCCAGCTCAAATTTGACTTGGTGTACAACTTTCCTCATCATTAAAGTTTAGACCATGTTTACTAATCTGCCAGTGGACGCCATCCTTGAGATAAAGGTTCACATCATCTCTTGCTTCACCACCATAAGAGTTACACGGGCACAGTTTAATATGTAATTCCTGTTGGTGTTGAATATTAATCCATCGTCTCTTCCCACAGCGGCGTTCGGGCTGGTCCTGATTGAAGGTAAGTGCCTTCAAGAGTTTATTAACTCCATCTCTAACTACTGAATCATTAACCACCAACAGTACGAGTAAAAAAATAAACTACAACAGAAGAAGAAACTATACTACAGGGTGTTGTAAAAGTCCCTGTACACTAAAATGATTAAAAATAAAGACATTTACTTTTTTCTACTTACAATAAATATTAGAAATGGTCACAGTTAATGTTGGAAGTGGATAGCGTTCGTGAGATTTACTGTACGTATAACAAGGTATAAAACTATGTTGGTATAATAAGGAACTATAGTGTTAATCAATACAGGTGCACAGGGACTTTTCGATCACTGTGTAGGTCGTGTGTGTGTGTGGAGGCGAGGAACACAGTATGTTACTTTCGTTCACACCGAGAGAGTCAAGGTGTACTGTGTGTGTGTCCCTCCCATGGGTTGCTATGGTGTGGCAATTACCTGACCCTCCGCACCGACACTAGAGCCACACTATCACTAGGGCCACACTATTAATAAGTCCACACTATCACTAGGGCCACACTATTAATAAGTCCACACTATCACTAGGGCCACACTATTAATAAGTCCACACTATCACTAGGGCCACACTATTAATAAGTCCACACTATCACTAGGGCCACACTGTCACTAGCGCCCCCCCCCACCCCCCCAAAGACCCCTATGGCCATACCCAACCTTATATAACCCTAAACTATATATTGAATTCTTCACCATGCCCAGAGGCCGGATCGTGTCCAGTGGGATGGGTAGACTTCAGTGTGGATCCCATGTCACCAGTGTGTCTCAAGTTCGTTATGTACGGGAAGGGAACCTGGTACAGCTTGAGGGGTCTGTGTCAGGCTGAAGGAGCAGATCTGGCCGAGCTCAGGGGTGAACTTCACCACCAAGTGTACGAGTATATTATGGATCACCAAGGTAAGATGTGTGTGGGTGTGGGTGTGGGTGTGTGTGTGTGTGTGTGTGGGTGTGGGTGTGGGTGTGGGTGTGTGTGTGTGTGTGTGTGTTGGGTTGGGAGTAAGAGTACTTAGTTATGGACACATCCATTCAGTAAGCGAGTCAATTGGATGGTTAGGGATGGGAGAGCAGGCAGGTTGTTTAATCTAAAGTGCTGTCTTTAGGTTCAAAATATCGGGTTACAATTTGGCGTGATCTGTGACTGGAAATATCAATACAGTTTGTGGTTGATAGGAGTAGAAAATGGACAGACAAAAAAAATGGAAAAAATTTGGTGAATTAATATAATAAAAACGTATTGACGAAGAAAACATTTATTTCAGACTTACAAGACGAAGGGTTCTGGATTGGCGGTACTGATGAAGGCCACGAGGGCAGGTGAGTCAAGTGTTACATAACAAATACAACAACAAAGAGACCTTAGATAAACGTCTCATAAAACCTTCAGAGCTGAGGACTAAAATCTGGTTGACGGAGACCTTATAATAATAATAATAATAATAATAATAATAATAATAATAATAATAATAATAATTAACGGTTTATTGAAAAAGTTCTGCAGCCCGAAGGCTGAAAATATACATTGGACATAAATGACTTATTACATACATTGGTGGTTTAACAAAAGCCTTCATTAGAGAAAGGTAAAGGAACATACAGTGAACATACAAATTAATGTAGGTGTTGAACAGCAAACTCGTAGTGTAGTAACTCTCTCCCAGATGGTGTTAGGAGGGACCTCACATGGTGTAGCAGTTCCCTCAGACGGTGTTATGAGGGACCTGGCGTGGTGTAGTAATTCCCTCACAGATGGTGTTATGAGGGACCACGTGGTGTAGTAATTACCTCACAAAAGGTGTTATGAGGGGCCTCACTTGGTGTAGTAATTCCCTCATAGATGGTGTTATGAGGGGCCTCACGTGGTGTAGTAACTCCCTCACAGATGGTGTTATGAGGGGCATCACGTGGTGTACGAATTCCCTCACAGATGGTGTTATGAGGGACCTGACGTGGTGTAGTAATTCCCTCACAGATGGTGTTATGAGGGCCTCACGTGGTGTAGTAATTCCCTCACAGATGGTGTTATGAGGGGCATCACGTGGTGTAGTAATTCCCTCACAGATGGTGTTATGAGGGACCTCACGTGGTGTAGTAATTCCCTCACAGATGGTGTTATGAGGGACTTGACGTGGTGTAGTAACTCCCTCACAGATGGTGTTATGAGGGGCATCACGTGGTGTAGTAATTCCCTCACAGATGGTGTTATGAGGGACTTGACGTGGTGTAGTAATTCCCTCACAGATGGTGTTATTGAGTGAGGTGTGGCCCCAGGCCTTCCTATCGTAGACGGATTAACACATCGCTGGTTGTTGTTGGGTCTCATGGGCCGTTATCACTGGGTACCTGGGACCTCACTGTGTGAAGGTTAACTTGGGTACGACTGTTACTGTTGAGTTGTTCTCACTGACTTAAGCACTGTTCACCAATGTTCACCTCTGTTTAACACTGGTTCCATTCCTTTCCTAAGTGAAACTGTAACTTCTGGCGAGAACTTGTTGATATTCCGGTGGGGAGGAGGGTTCAGGGGAGGGAGTTGGTATGGGCCAACTTAACAGTTGACCTGGCTGCTCCGAGAGGAGTGCCAGGTACGTGTGTGTGTGTGTCTTTCGTTCTCATCTCCTCTTGTCTCTCTAATACACTGTTGTCCTCGTCTCTCCTGCAGTTGGACTTGGGTCAGCGACAACTCACCGATGCCGATGGGCGTCCCTCACTGGTACCCCTGCCACCCCGCACAACCTGACGGAGGCACCAGCTCTAACTACGCCTGCATCTATACCCCGGATTTCTACTTCCACAGCTGTAAAAACGACATCAAAATCTACGCAATTTGTCAAATTTAAAATACCTTTCTCTTGTAGCAGACTCCCGAGTGGAGACCATAGCACATTAAAAGAAAAAACAGTGTAATTTGCTTTATTCTGTGTGAGTCCATCTCGCAGAGTTGAATTTTTGTCTGAAAATTAAAAAAAAAAAGTTTCAAATTCACTAAAATGATCGTAAAATAGAACTTGAACCTGAAGTGTTTGAACTTAACATATTCTTTGTTAAAATGACCAAAAACAAAAGCTAAAAAAAAAAACATGTCATTGAAACACCTGTTAACACCTGAGCGGGAGGAGTCATTACCGGGGTTCCAGACGTACGATTAAAAACAACAGTTGTCTTACGGCTGCTGCTAACGAGATATTTTTATGCTTAAAACAACCCCTAACTTGTTTGTGACGGCCACGGAGAAGGGGACGTTGAGGAGTAGGTACACGGGTACTAGCCAGACCAAGTTGACTCTCCTCACTCGTGTCTCGGCCAGTCTGCTTCTATGACGCACCTATGGGCCTAACCTAACCTAACCTGACCGAACTGTGAGAGGTGGGCTGTGGGGGTGTGTGGAGGCCAGAAGTGGGGTTTTGGTGTGTGTGGAGGCCAGAGGTGGGGTGTGGGCGTGTATGGAAGCCAAAGGTGGGGTGTGGATGGAGGCCAAAGGTGGGGTGTGGGTGTGTGTGGAAGTCAGAGGTGGGATGTGGGCGTGTGTGGGCGTATGTGGATTCATATTATCACTACCATCTCGACCATTTTACCATAAGTCCAACCGGAGAGTTTGATGGTTGGCTGCAAGTGATGGTATCTGTGGGCGTGGGCGTGACCAGAGAGTCATGTCACCAGCATCATCTTTCAAGCCTTGATGGGAACACACACACACACACACACACACACACACACAGACACACACACAGACACACACACACACACACGTCTTTTGCCTTAACCATTCGCTCACTCCAATTACCCTTATAAAGCTTTCCACCTGTACTGTACCTGCTTCACCATCACCACTACCACCATCATCACCAACATCATCATCACCACTACCACCACCAACATCACCACCACTGCTACCACCCCACCACCACTGTCACCACCACCACCATCACCATCACTTGCACCTCACTATACATACATCACAATACATTATTCATCCCCTCATTGTAGCTGCTTGTCTGGTTGCATTCATCCACGTCTGTCTTCGCCTTTCTTGGTGTTTTGTTGGTTTGTTGTGTTTGTGGTGTGTGGATGAGATCTCTGTTTGTGTTATGGTGTTGTTAGTGTTATGGTGTTGTTAGTGTTTTGGTGTTGTTTGTGTTATGGTGTTGTTAGTGTTTTGGTGTTGTTTGTGTACTCACAGGTACGTATTTTAAATAACTAATTAATGTCTGTAAATACATTATACCCTCTGTATGTGTGTGTGTGTGTGTGTGTGTGTGTGTGTGTGTGTGTGTGTGTGTGTCTTGGTAAACACCTTTGAGACATATGGTGACAATACAATGTTCAGACATGAAGGTAATTTGCCACTTAGAAAAATAAATCAATTGTCCTTATGTGGGCCTATGAAGACTGGGGTCTAGGAGAACTGGGGCCTAGGCGGACTGGGGTCTATGCGGACTGGGGCCTATGAAGACTGGGGTCTAGGAGAACTGGGGCCTAGGCGGACTGGTCCCTAAGAGGACTGGGGCCTAGGCGGACTGGGGTCTAGGAGGACTGGGGCCTAGGCGGACTGGTCCCTAAGAGGACTGGGGCCTAGGCGGACTGGGGTCTAGGAGGACTGGGGCCTAGGCGGACTGGTCCCTAAGAGGACTGGGGCCTAGGCGGACTGGGGCCTAAGAGGACTGGGGCTTCATTTGGCCAGCAACTAACCTAACCTAACCTAACCTAACCATCAAGGGACAGAGTTTACTACAGTCTTACCATGTTGTCTCTCCCTCTCCAAATACTTTCATTCTCTCTTCTCCTTTTCTCTTCCCCTATCCAACACCATCTCTATCCTCACTATCCCTCTATTGCTCCACCTCACAATCCCCTACTCTCTCTATCACTCCGCCTCACTATCCCTCTATCCAACCATCTCTAGCCTCACTACTCCTTACCCCGTTCCCTCTGGCCCTCGTTCACACTCTCTCTCTGGCTCTGGACGTCTCCTGTGTACGGTCGCCTGTAAGTGGCTACTGTAGAGGAGCTTCAATGGGGTGAAAAGAACCTTTGTTTGGCCACCATCTTGTCCACCACCCCCTTCCCTCCCTTTCCTTCTTTATTCCCTTCTTCTTGTCCACCACCCCCTTCTTCTTCTTCACTCCCTCCTTTCCTTCTTTATTCCCTCCTCTCGTTTTTTATTCCCTTCTTTCCTTTTTCTTCCCTCCCTCCTTTTCTGTCATCCCTTCTTTCGTTTCTCTTTCCCTTCCTTCTTTCCTTCTTCCCACAACTCACATCCCCACAGGCAGTGTTGAGGGAGACATCACACACACACACACACACACACACACACACACACACACACACACACCTCATTCCCTAATTTCAAGAGCACTTTTTTTCCTTCAGGTGTAAAAAACACTAATCAGTTCGGTCAGGAAGGGAGGACGGAAACACCTGTCCCTAAATTAAAAACCAGGTAAGGGCATAAGGCAGACCGTAGCGCCAGGTAACGACTCGACCCAGGGCCAAGTTGTCTGATTGACTGACACCTGCACCCGGGTTATATAATCATGACACCTGCACCCGGGTTATATCATCACACTATCTTATTTCCTTCCTACAGTCTGAGAAAAATATTATAAATTAAATACTGATGCTCTAATATTAGTCAAAGATATTTATTGTAAGTATTAATATTCCTAAGCGATATTTATTGTACGTAGTATTTATGAAGGTAATATATCCGCCTCGTGTCACCTTCAGGATTCAGGTAAGTTAATGAACGGAAAAAATTCAGAATTAATTTCGGTATAAAGCCAGGAAGTGTGTGTGTGTGTGTGTGTGTGTGTGTGTGTGTGTGTGTGTGTGTGTGTGTGTGTGTGTGTCATCTCTAACCTTGATTAAAAGAACCTAACTTCAATACCAGCTTATAATAGTATCACGTTAGGTTAGATTAGGTTAGGTTAGGACTACTTAACATCAAGATAAGCAAGACAACTCCCTCCCTCCTCCTGTGATGACGAGAGAAGCCGAGCACAGTATTGGAACCTTGACTTTTATTAATACTGATAAAATTACAAAGAATACAAGGTGTTACAGGATGAAACACTTACAGGAGCCTGACACTAAGACTATTGATCAGCCATGATGTGTTGTGTCCGTGGAGTTTGGTGTTATACGAGTGATCTTTATACTTAACGATACTACTACTACTACTACTACTACTACTACTACTACCACTGCGACGACTATAGTGGCATTAGTAGCTGTAGTACAAAAGTTCAATACAATTCTGTCCACAACTGTCAGGACAAGAGAACACCAACAGTTCAGAGAAGAACATTATTTACAAACACTTCTACAGGTGTGTGAGGACATTATTTACAAACACTTCTACAGGTGTGTGAGGACATTAGTTACAAACACTTCTACAGGTGTGTGAGGACATTATTTACAAACACTTCTACAGGTGTGTAAGGACATTATTTACAAACACTTCTACAGGTGTGTGAGGACATTAGTTACAAACACTTCTACAGGTGTGTGAGGACATTATTTACAAACACTTCTAAAGGTGTGTGAGGACATTATTTACAAACACTTCTAAAGGTAATAAACTCACAATAGCCATAAAGATTGTTGTGCTTGAATGAATTTGATCATTCACTTTAACGTTTGGCATTCAAATTATTGACAAAAACAATTACGATACCTATATGAGACGTTACTTATCGTGTTGTCAAAATAATACGAGATGGGATTTTTTTTTATTTACAATACTGCATAAGAACTATAGACTGTCATTTGAACCTTCAGTACCTGTTCAATCGCTTCCACTTACACCTAATACAGTGACCGGTGGGGTTTTGTGAGATGTGGCACCATTGTGTTTGTTTATCAAGCCTCCTTAGTCTGGCTACTGTTGTGAGGTTCCTTAGAGTATTTCTTGTTGTTAATTCTGATATAATTTACCACAAGAAGCAGCCTGACGTCACCACCTTGTACACCAATCATATTTACGAAACAAAACTGTGGAGGTAATTTTGACTTAAACTGAACACATATAAAGACCCTTAAAAAATATTAAGTGGAGATAATATGTTTTTGCAGCAATAGAATCAATAAATTCATAAAACACAATGCCTTAAACTTACGTACATAAGCTTTCAAGAAAATTTAAAAAACAAAAACATAAACAATAAAAGTTTTCTAAATAATAATAATAACAACATTTAAACTGTAATACAACTTACCTTACGAGTCGGCCGGCGATAAATACCTTGTTCCATTTAATCACTTATAAATAGTTTTTCAATTGTTTTGTCTTCTTTACAGTCAAAACACTAATAATAATAACCTTACCATCTTCACTATGGAATAAAAAACACAAAAATAATCTCTTGTCTTCTATCCAAAAGCTGAATTACCAACACACACACACGCAGGCGACGGGGCAGTGAGAGAGAGAAAGAACAGAAATGGATGCGGGAGGTTGGTGTTGGGTGAGGCGGCCGCACTGTTGTGATCACGAAGAGAGACGCAGAGAGACTCACTCCGGCAGCCAGCCAACCACCCACGGCCGCCTGCCTGCAAAAGTCCCGAGTCCTGCTTATACGCCGGGAGCGCAGGAAGGAGCAGAAGGAGGGCGGGGGGAGGAGGAGGAGGGATTAAGGGTAAAGATGAGGAAGAGAATTGGGGGAAGGGACAGAGGGGAGGAGGAGAGGGAGAAAGAGGGTGAGGAGGGAGAGGAGGAGGAAGGAGTGAGGATAAGGATGAGGAAGAGAAGAAGGAGGGAGTAAGGATAAGGAAGAAGGAATTGAAGGATAGGAAGAAGGAAATGAAGAATAAAAAGATAGAAAAATTAAGAATGATAAATAATAAAAGAAAAAATCTCACACCTGATCAGACAAGACAATCAGATCAGGTTAATGCCAATCAGA